AACCTACCACACCAGTGTTTGGAAGCAAAGTTTCTATTCAGGTCTGTTCCGACGCAACGATTGTTGGCATGGTAAGAACGGTTCTTTCTCCACATCCGATCCTACATAAACAAATCATGAACAGATAACCAGCCTGGCCACCTTTGGGACTCAAGGAAAGACATGACTTTTAAAGTCTAAGCAGCCAGGGTTGCATTTCTCTCCTTCGACCCTATTGCTTGTATGGCTTCATCCCACTGCTGCCTTCGCGGTGCTCTTCCTACTCTCCCCAACATTATATTTCATAATACTACAAAACAAAACAATCCTTTTGCACGGCCCACATTTCTATCCAGGTCTCAATCACATCCACTCGAACTATTTTAGTTTCAACCAAACGAAATGGTAATATTTGATCAATTTTTACATACACGAATAAAAATTTCATTTGGCTCCACTAGACTGCTTATGGTAGCCTTCTTGTTTAGTCTTGTGTCCTTTAAATTAATTTAAGCACAGGGTCATTTTGAGGGCCTTAGGAAAAAAGCAAAATGACCTTGTGTCTCATCTCAACATCAGGAGTCATGAATTTCAATGCTCTCTGTAAATTGAATTCAATGCTCTTGTCTCAAACCCAGGGGAGGTGGAGATGTAAAGACACCCTAGCCTGCTGGCTCCTTTAGTTGTATCGACTCAACTCTGGTTTCTAAATATAATGCAAGTTCTCCATTGGGTTTGTGGGGTAAACTGGGATGTTTGATCATGTAAACAGTTGCACAGACTTCGTTTAAGTTCTGAGGTTGGGAGGATGTAGCACCCTTTTCCCCTATTCCCATCAACCCTCTGCCAAGCCTCCAGCCTGCTCCCACCCCCAGGCCTGTCTGTGGTTTGGTATCAACAGTAGCCCTGGGGAAATCATGTTCTCAAACTTCAGGAACTAATTCGTACAGATACAAAGGACAGTATCCTTCGGGCAGTTGGAACATCTAAACGGTGACTGAATTCCACTGTGACTCAGGTTAAAACATAAATTTACTGCAATATCAGTTTATAGATGTGGTCATTTATTAAATACTAAATTGGGGTTAGGCATTATGCTAGGTGATTCTCATTTACTTTGTTTGGCATTTGCCCACCCACACCCACAGACTTTTCAGTTACAGTATTCCTTTCACCAGAGATGACCTTTTCACCAATCTCCTTCACCATTTCCACTTCTTCTGCATAAATTACCTCCTACATAAATGACATAAATCCTGTATAATCCCATATGTTTCCAATCACTCCAACTATTCTCATCCTCCTTAGTATTTATATGTGCTACTCAAGTGGGTTTTTCTAAATTTATATATACTCAGTTATATTTTTATGGGCCCCTTAGTGGATTAGAAAGGACCGTGCTTGAGTAATTTTACATGAAGCATGATGTTGATGGACTGGAAAATACAGAAGACAGAAGAATATGTTGAACTACAACATGAAAATGCAATTAGAAAATCCCAATAGCAGGAAACTCTTTCTTTGACAAATAAATTGCAAGAAAAAAAAACAGAGAAAGAGCTAAAATGGAGGGGATTAAAATAGAATTAAAAGAATAAATCAATCACAATGTATATGGGTAAAGTAGAAGTGGGTAGAGATGACAGATGACCTGGGCGCTGTGGTTCACACCTGTAATCCTAGCACTCTGGGAGGCCAAGGCAGGAGGATCACTTGAGCTCAGGAGTTCGAGACCAGCCTGAGCAAGAGTGAGACCCCGTCTCTACTAAAAATAGAAAAGTGAGCTGGGTGTCGTTGTGCATGCCTGTAGTCCCAGCTTCTTCGGAGGCTGAGACAGGAAGACACCTTGAGCCCAGAAGTTTGAGGTTGCAGTGAGCTATGATGACACCACTGCCCTCTACCCAGGGCAATACCCAGGGTAACAGAGTGAGATTCTCCCTCAAAAAAA